TGTAGCTCACGGATCTTATGTATGTTCCCTCATCCAGAAGAATGCAGACTTGGGATTATGATGGAATGATCTAAAGGCTATGTTAGGGGAGCTGTCATAGAGGACACACTATGTGTCCTAAGACAAAGGACAAAAAAAGCTCATCAATTTTTTAATGGTCAAAATACATATGCAGTTATAGGAACCAAGAGTGGAGGAGCTGTTTTAGTTATTGTTACTGTTGCTGTGATGAAACACCATGACCAAAAGCAAGTCAGAGGAGAAAGGGTTTATTTGGCTCACAGATCCAGAGACACAGTCCATTGAGGGAAGGCAGGGCAGGAATTCATACAGGGCAGGAACCTGGAGGAGGAGCTGATGCCAAGGCCATGGAGGGGTGCTGCTAACTGGCTTGCTCAACCTGCTTTCTTATAGCAGCCAGGACTACCAGCCCAGGAGTGGCCCACACAATGAGCTGGGCCCTCCTCCATCAATCACTAATTAAGAAAATGCCCTACAGGCTTACCTACAGCCCAGTCTTATGGAGGCATTTGTTTAATTGAGGTTCCCTCCTCTCAGATGACTTTAGTGTATCAAGTTAACATAAACCTAGTCAGCACAGGAGCTATGAGAATGCTTCCTCCTATATATGAAAAAATATGTATGTATGTATACACACACACACATCTCTCTCTATATAGACATATAGATATATAGATATATAGGTGTGTGTGTGTGTGTGTGTATGTGCACCATGGTGTACTTGGTGCTTGTGGAGGCCAGAGAACAACCTGTAGGAGTCAGTTCTCTTCTCCCACACATATGGGTCCACTCAGGTCATCAGGCTTGGCAGTAAATACCTTAACCTGCTGAGCCATCTCACTGTCCCCCATTACATACTTAACAATCCATTTAGGCTATTTTTGCTTCCTATCCCCAATCCTAGGCCTTGGTAAGTTTGAAGTTATAGCACTCAGTGGAGAGATGCTTCTACTGTGGAAGGTCATGATTGCTGGTAAATTTGCCTCTTGGCCATTTTAGGCTCTTCATACTATAGAACTTGTGGTCAGAATGAATGGTCCCAATTCCAAGGAATAAGTTGCTACTGTATGCCATGAGCAAGAACTCCAGAGAATTCTTTGGGGTACCTCTTCTCTCAAGTCTAATTTTAGGGTACTCTGAAGAGCCTGTACAATAGCGCCCTGCCAAAGACTTAAATAATGTAAGAAATCGAGTTTATATTATAAACTAAAGAACACTGAGCTATAACTAAGGATTTAAGGTTACAGCTATGCATTAACTTAATTGTGAAAGTTGATAACATGGGAAATCAAAGGCAAGTAAAGTTGGTTGTTATATTATTCTCTTAAAGACAAGTTAAACAGGCTGAATACACAGTAGGATAGCAGTCTTAAGTGGCCTCGAGGTGTGAGGTCACTTATTAGCTCTGGCTGTAAGGTCCAGCAAAAGTTCCAGTCTCTTAGAATGTAAGAGATATTTTAATATTGCATCACCACATGTAGGGGATTATCTTGATTAATCAGCACATAGAAAGGAGAAAGTGAGTTGAAGACCAGCATTCACCCTTCTCTACTTCTTAGCTGCATGCACAATGTGACCAAATGCCTCAAGTTCCTGATGTGGTGAGTTTTCCACCATGGTGGACTGTAATCCTCAGTTGTGAGCCAGAATAAATCTTTTCTCCCTTTAGTTGCACTTGTCAGGGGATTTTGTCACGGCAATGGAAAAATTAACTAATGTATTCTATACTTTACAAATGGACTTCAACTTGTCTTAGCTAGGGTTACGTTTGCTTTGATGAAACACCATAACCAAAGCAACTTGGGGAGCAAAGAGTTTATTTCACTCACAGTTCCATATAACAGTTCATCATCAAAAGTAGTGAGGGCAGGAACTAAAGCAGGGCAGGAACTTGGAGGCAGGAGCTGATGCAGAGGCTGTAGGCTGCTTACGGGCTTGCTCCACTCCGCTGCTGCTGCTGCTCTTGGTGGTCATCCCAATGGTACTGGGGTCTTCTGCTGCGGCTGGGCTGCACTTTCGCCAATAGCCTCTCAGGCCCTCTTTGTGGAGTAAAGCCTCAACTTCTTTGCATGACTCCTTGGTCTTGGGTTTTCAACTGCCTCTGAGGCTACACCTTCACCAATGGCCTCTCCTGACCCCTAACCAAGTGCCAAGTCTCAGCTGCTCTCCATGACCCCTTCATGCCTTCAGAACCAGTACCACCTGGGTGATGCTTACATTACCAAGTTCAGCTGCCAGCACAAGGTACCACTTTGGCTGCTTCTGGAACACAGCTTCTGTGTGCTGACCCCGAGGAAACACTTCCCAGAAGATTTCATCTCAGTGATGCTGGTCTTTTCTTAATCACTGCTAATTTCTTAGCTCCAGCTAACCAGCATCAATTGTCCCAGTAAAGCAAAGGTTTCTGTAGTAGTTTGAATTTAATTGGCCCCCCGTAAACTCATAGGGAGTGGCACTATTAGGAGGTGTTGCTTTGTTGTAGTGGGTATAGCCTTGCTAGAGGAAATATGTCACTGTGTGTGAGGGTGGGGTGGGGGTGGGCTTTGAGGTTTCCTATGCTCAAGATACCGCCCAGTGTTGGAGACCAGTTCCTGTTGCCTTCTGATCAACACGTAGCACTCTCGGCTCCAGCACTGTGTCTGCCCGCAGGCTCGCTCTGTAGACCAGGTTGGCCTCGAACTCACAGAGATCCACCTGCTTCTGTCTCCTGAGTGCTGGGATTAAAGGCCTGCACCACCACCACTACTAGATTCCATGGCTGACTCTTCAGCTCCAGCTGCTCAGAATGACAGAATCTTAATTCAAAAAAGCAAATGGCTATGACAGAGTCTTTAAACTTCCCTCTGAAACTTCACAAGCCAGGCCTCTATCTTCTGCATTGCCCTCAACATTCTTACCTTCCAAGCTCCTACAGAAGAGCTCACCAAGCACTGAACACTGAATGGCTTTTCTTGCACAGAATTCCAAAGTCCTTACACAATCCTCCATGAAACATGGTGAGGTCTGTCACAGCAATACCCCACTATCCTGAACACAAGTACCCTGCATGAGTGGACAATGTTTCCCCAAGAAGACATGGGTAAGTAAATGAAAATCTTAGTGCCAGTCATGGGATACCCTCCTCTGAGTTATTATCAGGTCCCCCCCCCCCCCAACAACACAGACCATTGCCATTGCTCCTGGCTGCCCACCAGAACTAAATGGTAAGACTCTATTAGACATAACACATTCTGGTTGCAGGATATAGAGAAAACAAGCTGGAACTAACCTGAAAATTTTCTCCCTGCAGGCTAGATTTCATAGTGCTTGAAAGTGCTATGCAGGCCACTGGGAGAGAAAATCCATCAATGGTATTACCCAGCTGCAAACACTGTGTGCTATAATACTGACTGTGGTGGCTTGGATGAGAATGGCCCCTATAGGCTCATAGATTTGAATGCCTGGTCCCAAGTTGATGGGATTGTTTGGGAAGGATTAGGAGGTGTGTCTTTGTTGGAGAAGGTATGTCACTGGGGGTGGTGGGCTTCGAGGTTTTAAAAGCCCACACCATTCCCAGTTAGCTCTCTCTGCCTTGTGGTTATGTATCAAGATGTGAGCTCTGTGATACTGTTCCAGCGTCATCCCTGCCGGCTTGCTGCCATACTCACATGATGGTCATGGACATTAACTTTCTGGAACTGTAAGTAAGCCTCCAATAAACTCTTCTCTATATTGCCTTGTCCATGATATCTTAGCACAGCAATAGAAAATTAAGACCCTGACCAGCCAGGCAAGGTGTTCTCACATGTACAATAATGGCACAAAGATCATGGGGGAGTTTTAGTCACTGCTCTATTGCTATGAAGAGACACCATGACCATGGTAACTCTTATAAAAGAAAGCATTTAATTGGGGCTGGCTTACAGTTTCGGAGGGTTAGTCCACTATCACTATGGTGGGTAGCATGGTGGCATGCAGGCAGACATGGTGCTAGAGAAGGAGCTGAGAGTTCTACATCTGGATTTGCAGGCAGCAGGAGGAGAAAGACACTGGGCCTGACTTGGGCTTTTGAAACCCCAAAGTCCACCCCTAGTGGCACACTACCTCCAACAAGGCCACACCTCCTGATCCTTCTCAAGTAGTGCCACTTCCTAATGACTAAGCATTCAAATATATGAGCCTATCAAGGCTATTCTTATTCAAACCACCACAGGAAGCAATAACTGCTTTTGGATTGGATTTCAGCCTGATACACAGGAGATAATTCATGCCCAGCACTGTAAATCTGGTTAAAAGTCATAGGCCCTAGTGGAGAACCCACTAGTGATGTCTTGCTAAGTGGACACACTGTCAAACTGCCTTCTAAACATTTATGTTTATACACCTAGGTTAGTGCTGCCCTCAACCTTGGCCAGAGAAGCTTCTTTCTGCTGTGGTCAGCAGTTAATACAAAGACTATTAGCTGGTCAAAGTACTGAGCATAAGTGATGACTGAGTACTAAGTCCTAAATGGACTTTTTTGTAACCTGCCTACTCCCTAGGCTCAGGGAGCACCCCAGAAGAGAGGGCCGAATGGCTGAATGAGCTGCAAGATGGGGAGAGTCTATGAACTGCTCTTTTAGACACAACACTGTACTCTTTGCAGCTATGATTATATGCACAAGATCAAGCCAATAAGATATGTCAACATTCCTACAGGTAGCTTACAAAAAAAAAAAAGAAGAGATGACATGAAGCGGGGAGCATGTCTGGGTAACTGGTAAAGGGAGTTGGGGTGAATGTGATCAAAATGCATCATTTATATGTATAAAATTGTCAAAAAATTAATAAAAGATGGTCTATTATTTTTAAAAAGAGGCAAATGAATAAAAATTGGATTGCTAGAATTCAAAACAAAGCCGTATGACTTTGCGTGGAGCACCAAAGACATGGTATTGCTTACCAGAGAGGGTGCAGGCGATGGAGAGTGCTGGTATCACATGCAATGTACGCCTCCTCACCTGATAGAAGGTGATGCTCTTGAGAGTCACAACTGAATTGGATCTCCATGGAACACAACTGGACACCTCAGGAAACAACTGGAGAATTACCATTTCTTCTGTAAGATCCTCATGTCCACATAACGGTCTGAAGCCTGCAGATGGGAACTACTGTGCAGAGGAGAGATGCCCTTCCTGAGACTAGGGCTTTTAGGTGCGGGAGAAAAAAAGTGAAGGAGAAAAAGCTTATTCAGCTTCCATGTGCTTTTCCTCTTGGTGAAAGCTTCCTTTCTGATCATCCAGGAAGTGGGAATTAACCCTCTCCAACACAATTCCCCTTACAAGATGAGAGGTGTTCAAACAAGACTGGAGGTTAATAATACTAAACCAGAGGTGTGTAACTGGAACAATAATGCCGGGGGTTAGTATTTGCACTAGAAATTACGACTGTGTTATTCTCTGTCTTCCTTCACTTCTAACACAAGTCAGGTATCTCTTTTCCAGCTCCGCAGGCTGATTACTGGGGGTTCACCCACTTCGTGATTCCACTAGCATCCCAACATTTCGGACGTTCATGCAGTTGAATCGAAGGCTCAGTGAGCACAGGCTAGCTGTGCACAGAACACTAAGCCATGAACCCACTCGCTGTCCGTGGCCAAGAAGCGACCCTGACTCTCCAGGGCTGGAGAAACTGCCTGTCAAACATCACCACCCACAATCCCCCCCACCTTCCGGCCGCTCCCTCGGCCGCTCTAGGAATCTGGGAGGATCACAGCTCTATGGTGCATCGTCAAGCCTGCGCAGGGAGCATTAGGATCCCAGGCTGTTCCCAAAAGCGGCTCCTCCCAGCTTTCCGCCAAAGACACTCGCTTGGCCCAAAGCTCATCCTTTGCTGCGGTTTACTGGTTCTTGAGGTGAATGTCAAAATCCATCATCTTTCGGAAAAACTCTCAAGGCCCGGTATTTTCCTGACCAGATTAACTCCCGTGTCCGTTTTTCTGCTGCATCTGCCTCTGTCCACCCCCTCCCCTCACTTAATCACTTTCCTAAGTGAACTTCCTAAATTTAGTCCTCTTTTTTTCCTCCCTCCCTCGTCCCTTCCATCCATCCAGGCACATGAATATGCTAAACATGTGCAGTTAAACATTCAGTAGTAGTTAAACATTCTACTCCTGAACTATATCCCCCGCTGACTTTTACATAGCCCCCCATCCAACCCCACTTGTTTTAGTTAGGGTTTCTATTGCTGCAATGAAACACCATGACCAAAAAGCAAGTTGAGGAGCAAAGTATTTATTTGGTTTACTCTTCCATATCGCTTTTCTTTTCATCACCAGAGGAAGTCAGGACAAGAACTCAAAACACAGCAGGATCATGGAGGCATGAGCTGATGCAGAAACCATAGAGGGGTGCTGCTTACTGAATTGCTTCTCAGGGTTTGTTCAGTCTGCTTTCTTACAGAACGCAGGACACCACCAGCCCAGGGAAGGCACCACCCACCATGGGCTGGGTGCTCCCCTATCAATCACTAGTTAGAAAATGCCCTACAGTTGGATCTTACGGAGGCATTTCCTCAGTTAAGGTTCCCTCCTTTCAGATAACTAGTTTGTGTGTCAAGTTGCCGTAAGCCTACCCACTACCCTCCCTCCCCCACTTACTAAGCCAAAGCCCAGGCCTTGGATTTTCCGTCCTTCTGTCTGAGCCTGGTGTTGCTGGGATTACAGATGTCTCACTAGACCTGACTCGTTGCGTACTCTCTCTCTCTCTTAAAAATGACATTATTTATTTAGTGCATATGTGTCTTTGCACATGCTATAACATAGCATGAAGGTCAGAGGAAAAATTGCATTAATTGGCTGTCTCCTTCCATTTTGTTGAGTCCCAGGAATCGAATTCAGGTCATGAGCTGTGGCGGCAAGTGCCCTTATCCACTAAGCCAACCTGCAGTCCTCTTGTGTGGCGGTGCTTTTTGTTTTGTTTGTTTTGGTTTTTGTTTTTGTTTTGTGAGTTAGGGTCTAGCTGTATAGCTCTGGCTGACCTGGAACTCACCATGCAACCCAGGTTGTCCTTGAACTCCTGCCTTAGGTTCCTGAGTGATGAGATTTTAGGTGTGCATTACTACACCCCCCTTTTGTCATCATGAAGTGACTTTCCTTATGGATACAACATCAATGTTCAACCATAGAAGCAACAGCAGTAGTAGCATGTATGTGTTGCATGTATATACTTAGGGAAATTGACTTATACAAATACAGGAACTGGTCAGGTCGTCTGTAATGCTCATGTGTCTATGAGTCTAATGCTGGAACCTGATATGGACCAGGCAGAAAGGAACATAGGAGCAAAGTGGAAGAAAGCATCGTCAAGCTAGGAGCCACAGTGTAAGTTGAAATTCACAATCATGGAATGAAAACCTGGGTTAACAAGATTATTGTTGGGTTTTATTTTTTTGAGAAAGGGTCTCTATTATGTAGCTCTGACTGTTCTGGAACTCATTATATAGACCAGAACTCACAGAGATCCACCTGCCTCTGCCTCCTAAATGCTGAGACTAAAGGTGTGTGCCACCGTGCCTCCCCAACTGGAATTTTCTTAGGACTATGTGAATTTATTTATTCAGTAAGTATTTTTATATTAGATACTGTGCTACAACACACACACACACAGCATTTAGAATGGCCTTTGAAAACCTGAGCCCTCTCAGCTTGGAGATTCATGGAGAAGTGAGGAGATGCATGCAGAATCATGTGTCATGACTGCAAGATTACACCCTGTACAAAGCTCAGTGTACAACAGAACTGGGGCCAGAGAAAACAGCAAGAACACTGTTCTTTTTGTTGTTTGTAATCATGTTTTGTTTTTCTTTTCTTTTTAGTTTTTGGAGACATGGTTTCTCTGTGTAACAGTGCTGGCTGTCCCAGAACTCACTTTGTAGACCAGGCTGGCTCGAACTCAGAGATCCACCTGCTTCTGCCAACCAAGTGCTGGGTTTAAAGGTGTTGTGCCTCCATGGCGGGCTGTAATCTTGTTTTTAAGCAAACATAAGTGATGCATATAAATGACTAGCTTTGTTGGAAGGCCTGTATGTAGTTCACTATCTGAGTCCTGAAAGAACATTCTGAAAGGTATTTCAGAACCTGTTTAACTTAAATACTGTATCAGGCTCAACACTTGTATTTTGATTGAATCCTTTTTTTTTTTGGCATTCAGGAAAGCTGTATGCCTCAAAACAATGATCTTAATAAAGCTGAGAAAGAATCATTATCAACGGGGGTCCTTTGTGGCCAGATCAATTTGAGGGAAAAGTACACAGTATTTTAATTATCAATGGCTTCATGTGGCCAATAGTGTCCATATTGGATAGCACGGATACTGAACACACCTTGGAAACCTAATAGTCTCTTCCACGCACTGACTTGATTCAACTCTCAAGATCTGGTTCACCACCATAATCTTTGACTGCAATTTTATCATCTATTCAGTTACTCCCTTTTCCCAGCACACCCCTCCTCAGCAGACTCCCCAAAGAGCGCATCAGCCACAGAATAGTAGTCCTCCGGGGTTCCTAGAGGGGCATGCTCATCCCCACTTCCGGGGGGCGTGCTTCTAGTGGCTTCCCCGCTTTCCCAGGGCGGTCCCGGCAACCTTCGGAGCGAGGTGAGTGCCAGGGTGCAGCCAGTCGGCTTCGATGCCTTCCAGACCCCGCTGGTGGGGCGGCGAGCCTCCCATATACCCTCTCCCCTACCCCTCGCCCCACGTCCGTCTCGGGGAGAGCCTGGAACTGTGCCGGGGCCACTTGGTAGGTCAGCGGGTCGCCTGTCTCTCAGCTGGTGCCTGGGCTTGCCGCGCGCTTCCACCTGCGGCTTGCACTGATTGCCCTTCCACTGACGGGCGCCTCCTGTGTGTCGGTGCTGGCAGGCTCTTTCCTGTGAACAAAGCTCGTTCCAGGGCCAGATCTCAGTCGTGGTCTTGGCTTACCTTTTTTTTTAAACACTCTCAGAGCACCAACCTCTCCGTAGGTTATTTTAAAATCAGGATCTCACTAGTTGCCCAGGATGGCCCCGAACTCACTCTAGCCCAGGCTGACCTTGAATTTGAACTCCTGCCTCAGCCTCCCAAGTAGCTGAGCTCGCAGCCCTGCCTGTGCTACCAGGTCTGGCTCTCTGTAATTTGTATCCACTCTTAGACACATATGTGTGCTTCTCCCTGCGGTTAAATTCTGTAATGGCGGGGGCGATGTCCTGATAACTGCCTAGCTCCTGATATAATGTCTGTACACAATAAATAGTAAAACATCTGTGAAAAACAGGCCCTCTTCTGATGAGCACTTTGACTCTGTGAGTAATGGAGGTATTTCAGCAGAGGAGTCTTCCAAGAGTGTGGACCCTGGAGGCAGACCTATAATCCCAGCACGCAGGTGGTGGAGGCAGGAGGATCAGATTGTTAAAGGCTAGCTCAAAGTATGAGCCCCTGGCTCAAATAATGAAACCAAACCAAAATCAACAGTGGCCGTCCATATTACCTCCCAAGCCACACAAGGTGGGACAATTTGCATATTTTGTTTCTCTTCATATATGAACTTACACTATAGCATGCTGTGAAGACAAAGTGAATTGGGGCATTAAAATGGGTTGACAGTGCTGGAATCCACTACAAAGGCTCAGTGTATTGTTAATTATTAAATGATCAGCAGTAACATTCTGACACATAATAACATTTCAGAGCAGATGCATTAATAGTAACAGCCTGCCTCCGCCAGTGGAGGATTGCCCAGACGTGTCCTGGGGGTTTCCTCTTGGTTAGAATGATGGCTAGTTAACAGAGGGGGGCTTGCACCCCAGTTCAGTGCCTCCCACCTCTCCATTGCCCTTCACCATTTGCTGGGTGACCCCTAAGTCCAGGTTTTCTGATCAGAGCAGTTACTGTCTATCCTCAGGGACAACTTGCTTCTTCAGATTTGTGTCCTAAGGCCTGGGAGTGGGGCCCTGAAACCCTGGATGCCTCTCTCTAGACTTGCCTTTTGTGAGAGGATGGGAAGGAGAGTCAAGGCCCTGGGTTTACTTTTATTGAATGTCCTTTTGGTAAATTTCCACAGTGAACCTATTCCGTAACCCATTCCTTGTGAAATGGGACTTGCCTCTTGCCTTGACTGTCTTCCTGGGACGGTTTTGAAACGTGGGTTTGTTATTATTCAGGTGTGGTTAGGACAACAGAACAGGAGATATTTGGGTTGGAAAGGCAGTTTGTTCCTACAGTTCTCCAGGGGTGGGGCGTGCCTTGCTGTGAAAGCCCGAGTCAGGAGGCAGAAAAAGCAAGGGGGAATGGTAAAAACCTTGCCTCACCACGGCTGTGGTGCTGGAAGAGGGGACAGGGGAAGCTGCAGAAGCACATTGCGTGTTTGCTTGTTTGGGTCACTTTGGTGCACTCTGGAGACGGGGATTTCTCTGCTTGTTTGGTGCTGACCTTGAAGGGATCAGAATTGGAAAGTGATGGTCTGGAGCTCGAGAGCTTGACTGAGAACTTGGGCAGAGGGGATTCTGGGTCTGTTGGTTTTCAATGAAAGGGACGCTCACACTGAGTTCTTCCTGCTGTGGGAACTGGGTAGCGCTGAGAGGAACTATTTGTGTGAAAGCATCGGAATAAAAAGATGTGTTTAACACACCAAGCAGAACTAGCTCCTCTAGCACCTCCGTGTTACTTTATTGGCTCTTCCCAGGAGAGGGAATGGGACAGCAGAAAAGTTCAGCTGCTGAGTAAAATCTCACCGTGATGGACCTGACAGGTTATGATTGTCTGACTCCGACACTGGCGCTTTTTGTGAGCTACATCATTTACCCGAGGTCTGCTAAATGCTGTGGAAATGTTTTTCAGTTTGTATCAGGTCCCCGACAGTGTTGACCAGTGCTTCTTTGAAATGCTTGTTGTGTAGTCATGGACAAGACCAGTAGTTCCATGAAGGTGTGTGTATTAATTTATGTACTTATTTTATTTATGTGTGTCTGTGTGCATTTATGTGCACTGTGTGCATTCTAGTCCCTGGAACTGGAGTTAAAGGTGGTTGTGAGCCACTATATGGGTACTGGGAGCTGAACCTGGGTTCTCTGTAAGAGCAGTAAGTGTGCTTAACCACTGAACCATCTCCAGCTAACCCTTTCCACCCAGGAAAGTGTTTTTTGTTTTGTTTGTTTGTTTGTTTTTTGACAAAAAGTGAAGAGCTTTGAGGGAAATGCAGTTCCCTTTAACCTTGTCTCTTACAACTCCTTGACTGAGAGTTCTCAACACTGATACATCTCAGGATCCTTTGTGGACTGTGTCACAGATGGAGTTATTGGGATCTGATTTAGGTGCATCTGACTAAGCTAGAAGTCATCCCATTCGCATAGTGGGATGAGTACGTTAAAAGAGGGCTTCCTGAGAGGTTTTTGTTTTAAAAAACCGAGCCAGAGGCACATGGAGGGAACATACATAGCATTCTTACTAATTGTAGATCCAGCTGACAGCCAGAATCGATTGCTAACTAGTGGGTGATGCATTGTGGAAACCCAGTCTGGCCCATAACATTTTTTTTTTTAAAGATTCATTTATTTTTCATTCATGTACATCTTCTGTGCACTAAGTGTTTGCAGAGCCCTTGGAAGCCAAAAGTGGGCATTGGATCTTCTGGAACTGAAGTTACAGACTGCTGTCAGCTGGATCTACTGTTAGGTGCTGGACTTGATTCCAGATCCTTTGGAGGAGCAGCCAGTGCTCTTAACCCCTAAGCCATCCCTCCTGTCTCCCAAGCACAGTCTTGATAGCACGTTACAATCACATTAGGTATCAAAAGTCAAAACCAATAGCTGACCCTGATCAGTAAACACTGCTGTGAGCACAAGTTGGTCAGAGGAATATAATCATCTTTTCGATTTGTGAAGACCACAAATGTGGATAACAGACTGGTGGGGACTGAGGGAGTTTGGGCAACGCAGGTGGTAAGGTGTGTGGTTTGCACATAGAATAGTCAAATAGGGTGATGGCTAGATTTGGAAGGGCAGACTCTAGAGGGAGGGAATAAGCCAGTAGGGCTTAATTTGACTAGAAGGAAGGGGTTACAGAGGACTGTTAGAGATGTGTTGGTTACTGACCACACAGCCAGATGGACATTCCTGTCTACTGAAGACAGCCCCCGTTCACTCCCTGCAAGACACAGTTTTTCTGCATAGCCCTGGCTGTCCTGGAACTCCTTCTGTAGACCAGGCTGGCCTTGAACTCACAGAGATCTGCCTGCCTCTGCCTCCTGCACTGGGATTAAAGGCGTGTGCCACCACTGCCTCCCAGCCTGAATATAGGTTTAAGCTGGCAAGAATCATGAATTGGTTACCTCATGATCTTATGAGATATTTTATGAGGTATAATATTATGATTTATGCTGCATCTAAAGTCCTTTTGAGAGTTTCAAGAGAATTCATGATGAGAATGAGCAACTGTAGGCAACTAGATCTAGAGATCCGGTGATGGATATTAGCAGAAAGTGAGGGTATGGAAGTCTTGAGGGATGTGGAGAGGGCCAGTAAAAGGAAATGCTAGGACTGATTTTATGGGAGGCACTGGAAAGGAACTGGAGGAGCAGAAACAATTCTTTGTGATTATAACTAAGTTCCCCTCAGCCACACAAGCCTGAAAGACAAGTTGTTTGGGCACAGTATTTATAATAAAATTGAGTGAGGGCTGATGAGGTGGCTCAGGGCTTATATTGCTCTTGCAGAGGACCTGAGTTTACTTTCTAGCATTTATGTTGGCTGATTGTCGCAGCTGCCTGTAATTCCAGCTCCAGGGAATCAAATATCCTTTTCTAGCCACTGTGGGCACTGCATGCATGAGTGCAAACCCATACGTAGATGCACATCCATATATATAATTAAAAATAGATCATACATAGACGCACACACACATATATATAAAATTAAAAATAGATTATGAAAAAGAAATTTTAAAAATTGAGTAATCTCAGGACACTGGAATTGAAAAGCTAGAGATGTAACAGACCGATGATCACTAAGTGAAGAACACACATCCGTGTGCAGCCCTGGCACATGCTGTGACATGCCATAAACGGATGTGATGGCATGGCACATATCATTTGTTTCCCTCTTTGTTTATATTTTAGTTTATTTGGGGTGTGTGTATAGATGAGAGGAAACCATCCAAGGATTCTCCTTTACTCTTTGTGTTCCAGGTCATCTGGCTTGGTGGCAAGTGTCTACTGTGCCATCTTGTCCTTCCATTCCGTCCCCCCGCCCCCCAGACAAGGTATCACTATGTAGCCCTGAAACTTCTTAAATCCTGACTGATTAAGAACAAAAGGAACTATTTAGTATTTCTCTCGTACTAAAATTGAAGGGTCTGGGAGGTGTCTAAGAGGCATGGATGGCTGTTCAGGTCTGTTCTGTTTTCTCTTACTGTCATCCATTAGTGTACCGGGGTCTGGCATAGACTCTTAAACCTGGGTGCATAGAAATACCTGGGGCATTTACTGAAACCATACTCCCGGAGATTCTGACGGAATCTGTCATAGGGTCCGTCCTCCACGGCTAACTGAGCTATAACTGGAGGTGACAGCCATTAGTCTGCTGTCCCTACACCACCGTCGACTTCTTCAGTGGGCCATGCCCTCTCACAGCCATTGTGTCACTCAGACCAGGTTCCTGAGATTTCTCCTACAGGCAGCTCTCCCTGCCTCTTCCGGCCCCCCTCTCTCTGGTCTTAGTCAGTGGTCTTTTTCTTGTGTTTACCTTCCTTGATCTTGCTTTTTACCTGTTTTTTTTTTCCCCCCACATTGAACTAAGAGACCCTGGGAAGACAACTTTTAACGTGAGACTTCTGCTTGGCAGTCTGTATAGCGCACATTCAATTTTTAAATATTTGTGAAATAATGAAAGAAGGGAAGCCATGACTTTTTTTATGTTGTGACTTACAGTCACGAATAATCTCTCCTTCTTTGTGCATTCATGGACATTTCCTGTGGCCCTCCCATCCAAACATTTTGCCATCACTAATTTGCAAGAACAACCAAGACTGGTCTGGGCAGTCAGTTCTGGAATAAAAACAGCCAGTGACTGAGCATCAGGCAATCCTAGGTTCATAGCCTGACTAGTTTGGGGACTTGGGCAAATTCAAGATGCCTGACTTCTTCATCTGTAAAACATGGGGATGACATTTACTGCACAGTGGTATCACTGAGACTCAATAAAATAGCTCTTGTAAGCTGGCTAGCCCATAGCAAGTGTTACATTTTGAGTTCCTGTCTTTGGGAGACTCCATGGCAGGACAGAGCTAAAAACCTGCAAAGTCCAGCTCTGCTGTTTATTAGCTGTGTGTCTTTGGTCATCTTATGATGCTCAGAAGCCTCGTTTGGAGCATGGACAAAAACACAATTGTCCTTATGTGGCACTATTTTATCATCCCTAATGCTATCCCTAACGTTATTACTAAAGGTCGCATGATTTTAGCTATACTAAAATTTTGTCGCATGTTCTGAAAACAATCTTGAATTATCTATAGATTATCATTTGTATGGAAGTTCCCTTTTAGTCCGTTTTCTACACAGGCACTGTAACCAGTGAGCTGAGTTCCTTAGTTCTGCAGGTCAGTCCCCCAACCCCCCAGTGGTATATACCCAGGTGGCTATCCTTCATAAACATGTATATACATTCTGAGCACATGCTTTCCCTGTGTAACCTGAGCACTGTCCACCTCAGGGGCTCTTTGGATCCACCTCCTCTCTGCCTCAGCTAGGTAGTCTTTTCAGATTGTCTTGCCCAGGATGTTCAGAGAGGCCACAGCCTTGGCCTGTCATGCTGCAAAAGGACAAAATGGACTCAGTGTTGTGAAAGTTGAAGAAGAAAATGTTTGGAGGCAGGACTTCAGTCTTCAGGGAAACCTCCAGAGCCAGGAGGCTTTCCGCCAGCAGTTCAGACAGTTTGGCTACTCTGACTTCACTGGGCCCCGGGAGGCTCTGAACCAACTGCAGAAGCTCTGCCAGCAGTGGCTGAGGCCAGAGGAGCACTCCAAGGAGCAGATCGTGGAGCTGCTGGTGCTGGAGCAGTTTGTGGCCATCCTGCCTGTGGAGCTGCAGGCCTGGGTGCAAGAGCACAGACCTGGAAACGGAGAGGAGGCTGTAACTCTGCTGGAGGAGCTGGAGAGAGAATTTGATGAACCTAAACAACAGGTAAGATGTAAGTGTTTTTGTTGGTTTTGATCTGTTGTGGCTAATAGAGAAGCCATTGTGAGTGGCATTGCCTCAGTGCTCAGGGAACTTAACTAGTTTCCTGTCTCTTGGTAAATGAATTATTCACCCATTAATTCAAGTCAGGGGGTCTGTAGTGCTTTTCTTTTTTCTCTAGTCATCTGAAGAGTTTTCTGGTTCTTTTGTCCATTGCTGTAGGGTGTTTCTCCTGTATATCCTCAGTCACAGTGCTGGTACTTGTTACTCTAGGACACAGCTCATGGCCATGAAGTGATCTGCAAAGAAATGACACTCATGGGAACACAGAAGTCTCCAAGTAGCCCACTGCAGTCCCTGGAGAACCATTGCAGGAGTGAGCCCCAGGAGCCCCGGGTTTTCCAGGAGCGAGATGAGGCAACCCTACCATTTAGGGTTGAGGAAGGAGGTGAGGACTATCAAATGTGCCAAGACCTTCTTAATGACTGTCACCTGTACTGTCACTAAGCAGTGTGGGAAATCCTGCTGACTTGGGCTCAGCCTACAACCTGAAATTTCAATATGATTTTTTAAACTTGGATTAAGAATGAAAGTCTTTCATAAGATTTTTCTAATGTCCAGGCGGTGGTGGTGCAAGCTGGGTGGTGGGGCACACACCTTTAATCCTAGCACATGGAAGGCAGAAGCAGGCTGATCTCTGTGAGCTCATGGCCAGTCTGGTCTACAAAGTGAGTTCCAGGACAGCTAGGGCAGTTACACAGAGAAACCCTGTCTTGGAAAAAAAACCAAAAAGAAAGAAAGAAAAGATCTTTCTAGTACCATATTCCAAGACTGATACTGTTTTTTAAAAGTATTTTTGTCATTCTAACAAGGCAGTTTCTAAGAGGGACAAGAATATTGTATCAGTAACTAAAGTCTCATAATAACTTGGAAAAGGGAAAACTTAATATTCAAAATTGTCAGCTGCAAGCTAGATGTTGTGGCATACACCTATAATACCAGTACTGACTTGAAAGGCTGAGTGGTAGGAGGCTGCATGTTCCAGGCCAGCCTGGACAGCATAACATGATGGTCTCAAGAAGAAAAGTAGTAAGGCATTGACCACTATAGTATCACTAAAAGTCAAACTCTAGAACGTACAGGGCTAAGGTGGAAAGTCCTCAGAAGAACACATATGCCATGTTTCATCTGCTCCTGCTAGGGCTGAGATCATGATATTGTTAGAGACAATATCGTCACAGATGGAGGTGGAGATGTGCTTTGAAATGCTCCTTAGGCTATATTCAGTAGAAGCCACCTTACAGTACTAAAAGCCTGCCAGAAAATTTAACTTAGCATAAAATTTGCTGGGAAGCTGCCAAGGTGGACAGTTTCTTTGAAATTTATTGTGTTGTTGGGTGTCCTGCATGCTGTAGGAATGAACACAAATGTTTTCTTCTCCACTGTTCTTCCAACTCTCTCAACTGATAAAATGTATGTGCTAGCATAATGCAAGTATTATAGATAGGACAGTGATAAATTTGAAATAAGGAGGCAATAAGTTGAAAGTATCACAGGTGCCAAGAGTTAGAGCCAAGAGGACTTTAAGTTATTGACAAAATCTCTATGGACAGCAGCCACATCAGGTTTATTAACCTGTTGTTACATCTAACTGCTTCTGACTTCATTTTCACCAAGCAATCTTATTACAGTCCAGGGAAGCTTAACTATATTAAGTAAATGCCTTATTAAGTCAAGTCTATGTAATATACATTATTATTAAAGTTATACTGTATAGTTACAAGTGTTTGGCTAATATGAGTCCACCTTAAGAAGTAAATCAGTTCATTGTATGTTGATATAATTAGGTATAAGGGTACAGAAGCTTGAAGGCCTAACCTTGGCAGTTCACCAAAGGAATCATATCAGTTATCTAATGAGGTTTCTTTAGAAACACCCACTGAACCTTTCTCTACTTACCTGCTCTGATACTGCCCTCTTAAATACCCTGTGTATTAAGCAGTAAGCATATTAAAATGCATTTAAAAAATGATCTTATCATATTGCCTTACAGGGAACTATTAATAGATAATAATAGCTAAATGTCTGTATTAGAGGTGTTTTTGTTTTGCTTTTTTGTTTTGTTTTGTTTTGCTGAGGATTTTCTTTTACTTTTTCGAAACAGGGTTTCTCTGTGTAGCCTTGGCTGTTCTGGAACTCACTCTGTAGCCCAGGCTGGCCTTGAACTCAGATCCACCTGCCTCTGCCTCCCAAGTGCTGGGATTAAAGGCGTGTGCCACCACGGCACAGCATCTGTATTAGTCTTTAATCAGTATAACGAGAAACCTGAAGCAATGAACACTATAAAGAAAAAAGTGGTTTATTAGCTTATGCATTTGTAAGTTTAAAGCTGTGTTACTTTCATTGGCTCGTTTCTGGTTAGGGCCCTTTCTGTAACATCATACCATAATGTTGGTCATGAGAGTACAGACAGACGTGATCACATAAAAGCAGGAAGCAGAGATAGGCGTTTAGCACAATCCTTGCAAGAACTAATGAGTTTCATGAGAAACATCCCAATCCTTTTTGAGGATGTTGCAGCTGATTGGGATCTCCTGCTAGGCCTGCCCTCTTAAAGGCTCCATCAGTTGCTACATGATTGTACTGGGGACCAAGCACCCAAAAGATAAGCCTTAGAGAACAAACAGTATGAAAACCATAACAATGTCTAAATCTTTTATAGATATATCTACTCCCCCCCCACACACACCTACCTTTCTGTCTCTATTACTATTTTTTTCAGACAGCCTTGCTACATAGCCTTGACTGTCCCAAACCTGATACTCAATATGTAGACAAGGCCTGTGTCTCTGCCTCCTGAGTGTATTGGGATTAAAAGGTGCCATGCCACACCTGGCCCTCTGCTTAGTTTTATTAAGGTCCTGACAGATTCTGACTACCTTCATAGGTAGTTGAAGCTCTAGCTCTTATCTTAGTATCTTAGGATGTGACTGTACTTTTTGGGCATGACGCTACTGTGTTCCTTATCCATTATGCCTGCTGTCTTTTTGGGAACAGGGAAAAAAAAATCTTGTTTTTCTGACTTATGCATCTAAGGTCAAACTTTCTCTGGTTACACCATTTCACTTCATGTAGTTGCTGTGGGATGGTCTGTATGTCAAGTGTGTTGCTGATTGGTCAATAAATAAATCACTGATTGGCCAGTGGCTAGGCAGGAAGTATAGGTGGAACAAGGAGGAGAATAAAGCTGGGAAGTGGAAGGCTGAGTCAGAGAAACACTGCCAGCCGCCACAATGACAAACAGCATGTGAAGATGCTGGTAAGCCACGAGCCACGTGGCAAGGTATAGATTTATAGAAATGGATTAATTTAAGCTGTAAGAACAGTTAGCAAGAAGCCTGGCACAGCCATACAGTTTGTAACCAATATGAGTCTCTGTGTTTACTTGGTCGGGTCTGAGCGGCTGTGGGTCTGGCAGGTGAGAGAGATTTGTCCTGACCGTGGGCCAGGCAGGAAAACTTTAGCTACATGTAGTACTTATTTTTTTTGTTGTTTTGTTTTCAAGACAGGGTCTCACTATGTAGTTCTGGCTGTCTTGGAACTCACTGCGTAGACCAGACTGACCTGGAACTCACAGAAATCCACCTGTCTCTGCTTCCTGAATACTGGGATTAAAGGTGTGCACCACTATGCCCAACAAGTGTACTGTTTTTATGCCTTTATTATATACTAGTGCTTTGTTGGGCGTTTTATTTATATATACTTTTTGAGACAGGGTTTCAGTATGTAATTCTGGCTGGCTTGGAACTCAGTATGTAGACAAGACTGGCCTCAAACTCAAAGATCTATCTAGTTGTCTTTGTCTCCTGAGTGCTGGGATTTAAGTTGTGTGCCACCACCTAGCCATTTTCTATAACTTTTAAAGATAAACACAACCTTGAATAAGTTGTCACTATAACTAATGATTTAACTTTCTGAAATCCTAGAACAGTACAAATTTCATTGTTCAGGTCTTATCTTTGCTGTCTCTAATTTCTCATAAGAAATGGTAGAACAGGAAGCCAGCTTGCTCTCAGCTTTTGTCAGATATTCAGTATAATGCTGTATTGTTTTCAAGGTGTTGTGAAATGTGCATATCAGAAATACTTATTTTTATGTAAAAGCATCGCTTTTCCAAAGATGAATTAAAATGAGTTTTAAATTATTTTTTGTCTCAGTGCAACTACAGCTATGATTCTAAAAAGACATGCAGGTAACTTGGGGAAAGACCTTAAAATGTGAAGTTAGCCATCATCTTTAATCTTGACCACCAAGTAGTAATCCTATAGTTTCCCATAGCTCTTGAAAGCTTCTGTTTCCTGATTGGTAAAATGCAGTTTTAGAGAATTTTTGAAGAAATAAAAATAATTTAACAGTTCAGACTTTACCCTTAAAATAATTCAGTGTATATTAACTGTCTCTAATAGTTCCTGCTTAGAGATACTAGAAATTTAGAAATAAAAGGGCATGCTGCAGGACAGCTGTATCTGCCTTTAGGCAGTTGTTTGTATCCATTTTGTTTGAACATTTATACTTGTGTAGTGAATTACTAATACTCCCACCTGACCCAGAATGAGTAAGGAACCCAGAGGATTTCTTTCTAAATGCTTTGTGTCTTTCTCTACTGCTTATATTTGCCCTATCTGGAACCTGCCAGAATTTGCAAATGCTATCTTGCTCTTTCCTGCCCACCTCCCTGTGTCTAATACTTATCCCCCAAACACTGTATGGTATCATGTACTCTTCTGCTTTGTTAGATGTAATGCTGATCTACAACTCTTAAGACATCTTATTTCTGGTTCTGTATCACCTCTTCTCCTTTTTCATATTATCTAATCTAGAACCGTCTCTTTCCTTTCTGGTTTATGACTGGTAATACTGTTTGTCACTTCTGAGTATTGTTTTCTTGTTCACTACTCAGTGTCTCCAATACTTACATTCTTTGTCCATTTACTCTCCTATAGTGTCCCTTTACTCTCCTATACTCTTCTATATTGGGAAGCTAATTGTCATTTCCCCACCCATATCCCTTTCCCAGCCCTGGAGATCAAAGCCAGGGCTTTGTGTTTGCAAGCACTCTGTCACTGGGCTGTATCTGCCCCCCGCCCTCCTTTTAAATGTGTATGAGTGTTTGCCTGCATGTATGCATATGCACTACCTGCATGCCTGGTCCCCACAGGGGCCAGAAGAGGGTGTTGCATCTCCTGGAACTGGAGTTAGAGATGGTTATGAGCTACCAGGTGGATGCTGGGAACTGAACCAGGGTCCTCTGCAAGAAGAGAATGCTCTCTTAAATCACCAAGCCATCTCTCGAGACCCAGCATTCCCCGTTTCCTTTGGTTTATTTGTTGTTCCTCTTGTAACTTTTTTAACATGAGAAAAAATGACACAGCCTATTCACATTTTTAGATAGCAAGATGGTGGCTGACAAAGTATCGACAGCAAAGCAAGAAATTGTTGAATGTGTTCCAGCAGTGGCCATGGCATCTCCAGGAAGACTTCCTAGGGCAGCTTCTCCAGTACAGACAGCTGAAGAAACTCTGCGATGTCTGGACATCAATGAGAAGCAAAGAGGAAGTGATACAAGCAATGAAACGAGTCCACTTTCCTCCCAGGAAAGCTATCTCAGTCTGGCAGCCTTTACCAAGAAACCTTCCACAGAACAGAACACCTTGGAGTGTAATGAAGGGGAAGGACTTCTCAGTCTAAACTTACATGGTACTACACAGCCCAGAACTCCCACAGGGAAACTGCTCTATGAATGCTTGGATTGTGGGAAAGCTTTCTGCCATAGGTCAAAGCTGATTAGACATCAAAGAAGTCACACTGGAGAGAGACCTTACGCATGTAAAGAATGTGGAAAAGCCTTTGGTTTCAGAACAGATCTTGTTAGACATCAGAGAATTCACAGTGGTGAAAAACCCTATAAATGTTCTGACTGTGGAAAAGCTTTCAGGGGCAGCTCAGGGCTTATTAGGCATAGGAGAATTCATACTGGAGAGAAACCTTATGGTTGTGATGAATGTGGGAAAGCCTTCAGCCAGAGCTCTACTCTTATTCAGCATAAGAAGATTCACAGTGGAGACAAAGGCTATGAATGTACTGAATGTGGTAAAGCTTTTAGGAGAAGTTCTGTTCTTATGGAACATCAAAGAATCCATACTGGCGAGAAACCTTATGAATGTAATGAATGTGAAAAATCCTTTAATCAAAGCTCAGCACTCACCCAGCACCAGAGAACCCACTCTGGGGAAAAACCTTATGGATGTTATGAATGTAGGAAAATATTTAGGCACAGGTCAGGCCTTATGCAGCATCAGAGAACACACACCAGAGTTCAACTCTGTGGGTAAGAGTTGTGTAATTGTGAAATGCAGGGAATTCACTTTGAAGGTTAGACTCCACAAAAAAATAGAAGTTTCCTGACTGCAGGACTTTTGTCTTTCTAGCCCAGTTCAGTTCTGTAAAGAAATTCATACAAAAATGCTTCTGTATCTAGATCTTGTCTATGAAGAATGGTAGAAAGACTGACCCATTTCTGAATGAGGACTCTCACCAATCTGCTGTTCATCCCATTCCTCACTACAGATGAACTGTCTTTGCGCACCTTCATGTAAGTCCATGACTGAGACACAGATCCTGCAAGATCTCCTTGTAAGGTGGCAAAGATCACTGTTCAGCAAAGTGTTTGTGTCTGACGGGAGTAGGCATGTTTTAAGAGTTACTGAACTCTGAAATGTTGAGTTGAGGCTATGAAATGTCATGTCCTGAATCAGTTTAATATCTGAGGGATGGAAGCTCATTCTGCCCCTTGCCAGTTCTTTCCACCCTGAGTTTCCTGTTGCAGTGTGCACCCTTATTTGGTACCCCCTGGGCTTAGCTACTGGAAGAACAGACTTGGTCACTGCACTCTCAAAATAAAGGGCTAATGGAATATACAGATTTATTAGACAAGTTATTACGGTAAGAGTGTGCCAATAATTGCCAGATGAATTCAGTGTTCTGTTGGAAGACATTTCAGAAATGCTTTACCTGATCTACGAGGTAACTAAAGATTTCCTGGGTGTGATATCTCATTTGAGACCTAAGATACAGAGGTTGCCTGGCTATTGGCAGAACAGAAGCAGAGTTTTTCATACATACATGGCATGATGAGGAGAGGGTCTGGAGACATTCCTGTTTCTTGACTTCAATTCCTGCTGAAGTTTTCTTTGACCCCAGTTCAGAAGCTAGGTGGGTTTCTTTTCCTGTTTGTAATAGCCTGAGTTGGATACCTTGTTTTAGGTCACAAGACCTGTATGATCTAGATGTATTCAAAATTAGCATGGTAAAAGAAACCCCTGGTGTTTGTAAAGTCATACATGTACACCAAGGAAACAGCATAAATTGGAAGCTGAGGGGCACTGAAATCTGGAGTCTCCTCAGCATTGGGTTTGCAGATGATAAGCCACTTGAGTGAAGTACATATGAATCAGTCTTTCAGACTCTACAAAAACTTCCTTGATTTTAATTTGGCAGTTTTAGTTAACCCACAATTGCTGAAGGTAATTTTTACTTAGGAAAATGCAGAATTGGCGATAATAGCTATTGTGAATAGGGGAGGTAGGACTGGATGTGGTTTTCGCTTCCAAAGGTTGTACAATTATCATTTAAGCTCTAATTTAAAGGGATAATTCAAATGGACAGTGAATTGCCTTTTCTTATAGATGACAAGTGAATGCATCAATGTTTTAAATATCATTTAACCCTTCTTCTAATTGTGAGTGTTGAGAAGTATAAATCAATAGTCCTATTACCCATAACAAAACTAACTTCTGAACTACTTCCTATTAGTAATCCTAGTATCTTTGGTAAAAATCTTTAGTATAAATTTTTGCTGATTTTAATATTTATATGTTCAATATGCACTCCAGTTGCTTAGTATCAGTATGTAATGGAATGTATTGTAATAAAACTGAAATTTTAAAGTTTTGCTTTTAAATCATTCAGGTAAAGGAATACAACATGAGTGGAGTTGGGCTGGAGGGTGGGAAGAGTGTGGAAAAAAGGTAGGTAGCACACTTTGTTTCTAGTTCCTGGGTTAAATAAACAGCACCAGGAAGCTATGACAGCCAGACTTTTAAGGCTGAGTTGCTGGAGCATTGGAATGAAAGTAAGAACCTTTTAAATTCCTACACATACTAAATCCACCAAGATATCCTTCCTCCTCAATCCTAAGTGCTGAGAAAGACCTTGGGAATGACTACTTTTAAATTATGTGCATGTGAATGCAAATAACCTACAGAGGCCAGAAGAGGGCACTGGGTCCCCCTGAAGTGGAGCTACAGGGAGTAAACCACTGAATGTGGTTGCTGGGAATGGAACTCTGGTCCCATACAAAAGCAGTATCTGCTCTGAGCCATCTCTCTAGTCCCATGTTTTGAGTAATTTTGAGACAGGGTTTCATATAAAGCCTAGGCTGGCCCAAGAGATGGGACTTTCCTCTTCAGTTGTTCACAAACAGAAGTAGGTTATTGGGTCACTGTCAAATGACTGAAAGACTCAGTCCTTTCTCAGTGTTAGCTGCAGGCTGTGGAAATGAGGGAGAAAGAAAGGTATGAAGCTGATTTAAGACCCATGCGAGGGAAGCACTGCTTCAGACTGCCGCTGGAGCAAGAGGAAGAAAAGCACAGAGCAGAGAAGGACATTAGTTATTTCCTCTCCGAAAAGGCTGTTGAAACTGACCATAAGATCATCTTCAGCTCCTTTAATGTGAGCCTATAGCTGTGAGCTAACAACTTGTTTATGCCTGCTGAATTCATGGAAAAGCACTCATGACAGAAGTTCTCAGCCACAAATCTTCATGCAGTTCACTTGCACAGGAATTTAGAATTTGAAGGGGATTCTTCTAATACTATAAAGTAGGTATGTCTGCATTGATTTCATCAACAATGAAAGACCAGAGTTAAGTTAGTTAAGACTTGAGACAGGGATGTCCTAGAAGGCAAGGGCTTATTTCCACACCTATTTTGGGCCTTTGTTCACTACCTGCTCTGCCTAGGGCTGGGGAATCTAGGGATTAAGCTTGAGCCTTAAACATGGTAAACTTATGCTTTACAACTGAACTATATTCTCCTGCCCCTTCCTCTACAAACAGTATTAGATTTTGCAGTAAAACTTGAAATACAAAAACAGCACACTACCTGTAACTTCATCACCCAGGAGTAACCAATATAACATCTTGACATTGTATATTTCCATTATTTTTAATGCATGTTTTACACAGGATCATGTTGTATATATTGTATATTTAATATATCATGAATGTTTAACATGTTTTAACAGCTTGTAAGGATGCATATTCATGGTTTCTTATGTGTATTTCTGGGTAGAATGTCAAAGTCCAAGGCAGTGCTTAAGGCTTCTGGCCAGAGATATGTATTCACAGACTGTAAGCAGCAAGAGAGTCCTAATTTGCTCGAATCCTTGTTAATTTTATATGGAAAACAAATACCACCTTCACTCCTATTCCAATATGACTATAACTTGTAAGACTGGACATATATGTATTGTTCACTGACACATCTGTGATTTAAATGTTAATGGGACTTTTTCATGGATAGTAGTAAGGTGCTTCCAGAATAGAGTTCTGAGTTAAAATTCTGACCTTTTAGCTATGATAGCCTCCATTTCCTATGTGTAAAATATGATTTGTATTAATGATTAACACATACATAAAGCCCTTGGCAAATAACCATTACATTTCCTTCTGATCTATGTAAGAGCTCTACGGTATTTCTCCCTTTTCTAACATCTACTTAACGTCTACATTAGACATTTAGTTCATTATTTTTATTAGTTAGTACATACTCACCTATAAATGTCCAAGACAGCATTACTTTTGTATCCTCATAAGAATTATTTTTCTATGCTTCTACATAGATTTGATTTTGGTAAGGTATGTTATTTCTCCAAACCACTAGGTCTTTGAATTGACTTTTTTTCCCACAGTATTTTTGAGATGAGGTCCCATCATGTAGCTCAAACTGACCAGGAATGCCTCATCCTTTTGTCTCACTGTTCAGAGTGCAGGGATAACAGGCTTCTTGAGTTCATCAGCTTTCCATCTTGCACTGCACCAGCCTTACGATACTCTTCCTGATGGGTTCCTCAGAAGAGGGAAAGACCTGGCAAAATTACCCCTTTCTGTTGTTACTTCTCTAGCATCGTCCTTAAAATTTTCAAGATACTGATAAATATTGCTGACATAAGACAAAGTATGTGCAAGGCATTTGGAGAAAGAGCCAAAGACCTGAAACTGACAATGTTTTGAGCACCTGAGCAAGGCAATTGTGCTCAGGTAGAGAAATCCTCATGGAGCAGCCTTAGGAAGAGTTGCTATGGTGTCTTCTAACATAGCAACTCCAATACTGTCTAAAGAACCCAGAGCCTGCATCTAGGCTGTCTCTTACATACTGCACTCCTACCACTCTCCCGGTAGACGTTTAAACACTGTCTCAGGTTGTACCAGGAAACCACTTTCTAGCCCATTCCATTAGGCCACATTACCAAGACAAAGTTTTTCATGGTGCTGTGACCAAGGATTCTAGGCTTTTATCTATTAGAAACTGCTTCATAGGCTCATATGCACTTCTTGAGAGTCTGGCTGTAGTCATACTTCTCACAGATGTGATGCCAATTCTGAACTCAATAGGCAATGTTCCATGTTTTTTTCCTGGTGTTAAACAAAAAAAAAATTTCTTCCTTTATTATAACCTGGCCTTCCTTCCTGATTAACTCCTCATTCTTCATATCATTTTAGTTTCCTTTATCCAAAGTTCTTGGACAAGAGGGAAATGGGGAAAGTGCCAGGCAGTGGTGGCACACGCCTTTAATCCGAGCACTGGGGATGCAGAGGCAGGCACATTTCTGTGAGTTCGAGGCCAGAATGAATACCAGGACAGCCAAGGCTATACAGAGAAACCCTGTCTCAAACCCAAACCCCACTCCCAAAGGTTGTAATACACTGACCATACTAAAGTGTCATTACCTGACTGGTAATTGCTATTAGACTGTAGAAATGATCTTTTGTCATTATATTTCTAGTCCCTGGTACAAAGCAGGTATTAAAAAAAACAGGACTGACCACTTTCCTAGCTTGTGCCACCCTACGTTCAATACCCAGCACAGAAGTGGGGAATGGACAGGGCCCCAGCGTGTATAAACTAATTTGTATCTTTTTCTTCTCAAGCTCATTTCATTTTGGGCCTACCTTGGGATCAACAAATCACTGATGAAACTGTTTCCTCATTTTACTTGTTGACTAGCTACCACTGAGTAAAAACTTTAGTTTCTTAAGCAGTTTCTCATGCCATCCCTATTATCTCACAAACCTGGTACAAACCATCAGATGTAGTGACAGACAGAATGAAGCCTTTTCCATGACATTCTCACAGAAAATAAGATCTCACTATTACATTACTTTTTGTTTTTATTTTCCTGAGTATTCCTAATGTTAAGAGCATAGCTCAAAGTAATGGCCTTATATCTTGTGGTAAATCACAGCAAGTTTCAAAGAAAATTTGCACTGCATTGGGAAGTGCTACACAAAGCAAGTTAGATTGACTAAAGACCATTTGTTTTTTAAAACTACCTTTATGGAATCTTGCTCCAAAGTCAACCTTCTGGCTAATACAGAGGAAAATATACTATTTACCAGTCATTGTATTAAGTTACTTAACAGCATGGACTCTCTGATGGCGCATCAACACTGATCTGTGCCTAAAAGCCTTCCCACATTCATTACATATATAAGCTTCATCCCCAGAATGGATTCTCTGGTGCTGAACAAGGGCTGAGCTCCTTTTGAAGGTTTTGCCACAGTCATTACATTGATACGGTTCCTCTCCACTGTGAATTCTCTGATGTCTTATGAGGTTTGAATTCAGACTGAAGGCTTTCCCACACTCACTACATTCATAGGGTTTCTCTCCACTGTGTATCCTCTGATGGGTAATCAGCTCTGAGCTCTGCTTGAAGGCTTTCCCACATTCATTGCATTCATAGGGCCTCTCTCCTGTATGAATTCGCTGATGTCTAATAAGCTTTGAGCTCTGGCTAAAGGTTTTCCCACATTCATTACACTCATAGGGCTTCTCACCAGTGTGAATTCTCTGATGTATAATTAGATAAGAACTTTGACTGAATGCTTTGCCACACTCATTACATTTACAAGCTTTCTCACCTGTATGAATTTTCCGATGTCTAGTGAGGGCTGAGCTCTGGTTGAAGGCTTTTCCACATTCATTACATTCATATGCTTTTTCACCACTATGGATTTTCTGATGAATAATGAGGTATGACCTCAAACTAAAGGCCTTCCCACACTGATTACATTTATAGGGCTTTTCTCCAGTATGGATTCTCTGATGTTGTGTTAGAGAGAAATGCTGTTTAAAGCTATGCCCACATACATCACATCTGTAAGGTTTATCTTCTGGAGAAACTTTCTGACATGTTACAGAGTTTGTACTTAGAATTAAGCATCTTTGAGATTCATCGTGATGGTCTCTTTTTGCTAAGGATTTGTGTGTGAAGATCACTTGACTAAAACTACCCCTATGGAGAGGAGGGGGACTTCTTTGCTGCCACTCTAAATTGCTTTTGTGCTCACTAACACCTCTAAGTGAAGGATCCCAAGACAGTTCTGGTGACTTTTCTCCTGAAATGTCGTTTGCTGTTGTTTCATTATTCTTTGAATCTGAAATAGTAAAAGCAAACAAAATAAAATTAGTAAACCCCAGGATTTACATTTCTTCAGTTACTCTCAAGTCTTTCTATGTTCCATGGGTTAGCCTGGTACTTCTGGTCTCAAGGGATTCTTCCTACCCATCTTTCCAAATAGTTGGGATTATATGTAATCTCCACTATGGCTAACTTAGTCACTTTTTATGTAAGGGAAAGTAGAAGGGTCTACTTAGAAAGATGTCACCTGGGGTCTTTTCTCTTTCCCAATGCTAAAGCCTACATCTTCCTTTTGACTTTCATCTTTTCTTTCTTTTAAGACTTCAACTGATCAATTGCTCACTACTTTTCTATTATCTTCAATCTCTTTCCAAGTTGACTTCCTATAATGGTTAGTTTTTAATTATCAATTCAACACAATCTAGGATCACTTGGGAAGAATGTCTCAGTGATACCGTCTACATCAGGTTGGCTTGTGGGCGTGTCTGTGTGTGGGGGGGACTGTCTCATGTTAATTGATGTGAAAAGGCCCAGCACATTGTGGACTGTATCATTTATGGATATGGGTCCTGGACTGTATAAGAGTGGAGAAAATGAGTGTAGTAGTAGGCATGTGTGTTTTTATCCTTTCTCTGCTCTTTACTGTGGATGTGACTAGTTGCTTCAAGTTCTTACTGTCTTGACTCTCCTTCAGTAATGAAATATAATCTATAATCATGAGGTAAAATAAACCATTTTCCCCTTAAGATGCTTTTGCCAAGGTATTTTATCATAGAAACCCAAAACAAACCAAGACAATCCCACTTACAGCTCAAGTCACGCCCTCCCTCCTTAAAAACCAAGCTCCTTGCCTATCTATCTGTTGAGCAACCTTACATTCACAGTAAATTTCTTGAAATGGTTTGTCTGGAGTCATTCCCATTCTGCAGTCTGGTTTCTAGTTTACCTTCCTCTTGAATTCTGCTACTTCTACCCATAGTAGTCTTGTTAGGGTTACCAATTTTTTAACTGTATATAATTGAATGGGTACTTCTTGGATCTTTTTCTAGCATGATACTGAGACACATACCTTCCATTGTTCTATTTTTCTTCTTGACATAGGGTTTCACTCTGCAGACCAGGCTGGCCTCAAACTCAAAGGCTGGATTAAAAATGTGAGACACTACATGTAACCCTCCTTTTCTCCATGTTGTTTTAGCTTTTCTTTTTGGATTTTAGGGCTAGTAACTAAAAAAACTATGTTCCTTCAGAGTCTACCCTGGGTTTTCATGTATCTTAACTGTTGAAACTCTCTACCCTAGATTTCAGTTACTACTTATATTTAAGCTATGTCTTTTCAGATCTTCAAGTCTACCTTGAGACTGTCATATTGGATTTTTGCTTGTATGTGTACCCAAATGTACCATACCAAACTCATCAGATTTTTTTTTCTTTTTTATGAACAGTACCATTATTAGCCAAGCTGTTCAAGACTGAAACTTGATCACATTCAGATTATTCTCTTTCACGAGCTGCTTTTAATGATGACCATCTACTGCAATGAACTTTCAATGCTGAGAAATAGGATTCAGCTTTAATCTTCTCTTTGCCTCAGAGTAACAGATTTCCTCATTCACTGTAGCCTCTTGGATTCCAAGTCTCTAGTAAGCGTCTAATCTTGCCTTCCTCCAATCACTTCTATACTATCCAGCTGAGTTCTAAACCACAAATCCAATAATGCCGTTTTCTTATCCATTACTCTTCAACTGCACCCTTTTCATGTAGGATGTGAATTAGTGTGACATAAAGGCTTTAACAACCATGCCTCACTTTCTCCTTTAGTTTTTCTTTCATTATGCCTACCCTTACCAATTCTCTAGTCAAACCGAAGAACTTATAATTTCCATAATGGTTTGTATTCTCTCACCTTAACTACCTATTTACCTGGCTTTCTCCTACTCATAGTTCAAATACAGTGCCACAGGGGTCAGTAAAGGGTGTTGGATCTGGAGTTACAGTTGTGAGCTGCCATGTGGGAGCTGGGAATTGAACCAAGGTCCTCTGCAAGAGCAACAAATGCTCTTAATCATTGAGCCCCCCTCCAACTCTCCTTGAATCTCATATTAGGTTCGGTGTCATTCTCTGTGCTGCTGCAGTACCCACACAGTGCCTACTTGTAGTCCATAATTTACTGCAACAGGATGCATCTGCTTTCCTCTCTGTGAACCACTCATGAAGGCCTGAAAGTTCCTTGAAGATGGAAACGTATCTACCGTAGGATTAGCCATTTCTAGCATTCTTCCATGTTATAAAACGATGAAGGGAATCAATGACAGGGAACCTCATACAAGGGAGGATGACTGCAATTCAGAAGGATCACGGAATACAAAGCTGCTCAAGTGAGTACCTCTGGTTTTAATGCAAGTGATGTGCACATGCAACAAGTTTATAAATGCAAGTCCGCATCTCCAGAACCAGAGGCCTCACTTACATAAATTTGAAGATAAGTTTCTATTCCTACCACTTTTAGAGGAAAAGCAGGGTTTCCAGGATTTCAGCTGTGTCTTCAAAGGCCGGACTTGGATGCTTGTTGAGTCTTGGGATGCTCTGAGATATGTCAAATCTTTCCATGACACTGATGGTCCTTGTGGACTATCTGGGACCTGGAACCAGAAAATACGATTAGTAAAAATCTCAAACAGGTAAATGAAGCCACTGCCACAGGTTAAGAATGGGTGGTGGAGATAGGTATGTGCTATTGTTATATAAAGGTTGTGGCTCCTCAGAGACATTTTAACCAGATAAGATACTACATAATCTAGGCTGCATTTTTTGTTTCAACAACACATATCTCTGTTCCCACCTGCTGCACTGGATCATCAAACTCTTTCTCCAAATCCTCCAGCAGATTCACAGCTTCCTCACCACTTCTTGGACCATGTTGTTGAACCCATATCTTCAGCTCCTCAGGTAAGATGCTCAGGAACTGCTCCAGTACTAGCAATTCTAGGATCTGCTCCTTTGTGTGCAACTCTGGCATTAGCCACTGATAGCAAAGTTCCTGGAGTCGACCCAGAGCCTCTCTGGGCCCAGGTGTTTCATGGTAGCAAAACTTCCTGAATTGCTGGCGAAACAATTCTTGGCAAGATTGGGTACTCCCATTCTGTTTACATTTCTCACTCCAAGAAAAACTATCTTCTATTTTTACTAGTATTAATTCTTCTTCTTGATCCTGAGGTTTTAACGTTGAAATTGCTCTGGATTCCATAGCCATACAAAAACCTTAGTACAACTGGGTTTTGTGCTTGGGGAGGATCCTACAAGATATGGAAACACTATTAACCTACAGCATTGAAAGAAAAATCTCCAAAAACTTGTGACATTGAAAGGAAACAGGCTTAAGACTAAATAAGTTGACAAAATTTTAATCATACCCCCAACTGTGTAAAATTCCTACCACTAATTACAGAAAAATTTTAGAAGTGTAAGAATGCAATATTAATATGAATTACATAGTGAGATTATTTCCTTTCAACTATGTTTCAGTCCTGATTAAATTCTTTACTCCAGCCAGGCGGCGGTGGTGCATGCCTTTAATCCCCACACTTGGGAGGCAGAGGCAGGTGGATCTCTGTGAGTTCGAGGCCAGCCTAGTCTACAGAGCGAGTTCGAGGACAGGCTCCAAAGCTACACAGAGAAAGCCTGTCTTGAACCCTCCCCCCCCCCCCCAAAAAAAAAGAAAGAAAAATTCTTTACTCCTTATGTAAACCAGAACTTTTTTCAGTGCTGCGAATGAACTCAGGGCCTTAAACAAACACCAAACACTTTCACTTTGCTACTAAACTGCATCCTTGGCTTCCTTTGACAGTGCTGGGACTTGAACTCAGGCCCTTCACCATATTAGACAAGCATTCTACCCCTGGGCTACATCCCCAGCCACAGAACAATTTTAATAAAATACAGGCTGCAGATTCAGAAATCCAAAGGTAATAATACTTTGGCAGATTTTTTTTCCTGGTTTTTTGAGACAGGGTCTATGTAGTCCTGGAACCTGCTGTGTAGACTAGGGTGGCCTTGAACTCACAGATATCCTCCTGCCTCTGCCGTGCTACTATTAAGGCATATAACACCATGCCCAGCTTTTGGTAGAATATAATGCAGGCTTAATTTTTTTTAGTTATTGTTTATTATAGCAGGCAGTGTTGGTCTACATTTAAGGTAGTAACATTTTTAAAACTCACACTAAACATGAATTTGTTTAAATAAAACATTGCTGTATATTTGCTATTTGGTCCCACTAGTATACTGAATTTTTCAACAAACGTGGAGGGACTTACTGTGTGTGGGCTTTTGTTCTGAGCCAATATTATAGAAAGGTTTGGCTTATGAATGAATTTAGTGAGGAATTAGTAACTGTAAAATACTTAGCTTGGGTTAAAAGGAAACATGCTATTAGGGACGATAAGTCAACTTAAGCTCTCAAAAGCTGGAGTATTCTAAATTTAACTGTATTTAATTGAAATATGGTAGAAATCACGTACTAGCTTTGGGGACATAGAACAAACACGACCTGATGTTTGGAGGGGTATATGCAGAGGCCTGGGTGCCCTTCAATTAGTGTTGAAACCCGGCCCTAAGCTCACAAGGCTGAGCGCAGGATGAGAAGTTCCCCACTGCCCGGGGCCGAGGCAGCGACAGCATCCTGTGTCCCAGCTTACACATTAACCGAGCCCCACTCCCTACCAGAGAAATCTGACCCCGTCAAGAAGCGCAAAGTCGGCACCCTTCCCTGCTCTAACGGAGCAGGGCCACCCATTAACAAGCCTGCGTCCTGGCGGCGCTGCAACTCTCCTTCACCCCTCACCACACCTCAGTGCCGTGACAGGGGACCCCACGCGCCGACGACACCACCGCTCCCCGCCCAGCTATCAACACACCCGCCACCAACCTGTCTTCGTCGGCAGCCCGCGGCACGCACCCACTTTAGCTTCCGGGTGAAAGCACAGCGTCGGCGCGTGCCTCAAGGGGCACCACCGGGCCGTCCAGCGGAAAGCGGGGGTCGAGGGCCTCGCCGGGACGTGCCACCGCCTCCCCTCCGACCGAGCGCCGGTCCAGGAGCAGCCCGGGCAGTGCACACGCCGGCCACAAAGACCTGCGGCGCCTCCCCGCCCCTTCCGCCCGCGCGCACGCGCCTGCCTCCGCCCGCCCCGCCCCTTCCGCTCGCGCGCACGCGAACCTCCGCCCCGCCCACGTGGGGTCTTCCTCCCGCCTGCGCCCCCGAGCTCCATTGTCGCGTCTGCCCCTTCTCACTCCCCCAGTTTTCCAGTTCCCTATTCAGATTTTCCCGTCGTGACAGCTGTTTTCCATGACCCCTGACAAGAGTAAACCTACGCGTGAATGCACCGAGCAAGAAGTAACGGTCCCACGAGCTGCCCCAGGTGCTCGGCGCGGCAGCCGCCTGCTCGGTCCCCTGTGTGCACGAAGTCACTGCACAAAGCCCAGCTGCCGTGACTCGGGCGCCAGACACGCCTTTAAAGTCGGGTTTCCCATTTTTTTTTTTTTTTTTTTTTTTTTTTTTTTTTTTTTTAGTAGCTGTTGTTTATGTGTATAAATGTTTTCCCTGAGTGTATATGTACACCATGCATTGCGGGCAGAGGCCAGAGGAGGGCGTTGATCCCCAGGGACTGGGGTGATAGTGGTTGTGCACATTGGTACTGGGAACCCAACCTTGGCCCTCTGCAAGAGCAGCAAAGTGCTCTTCACCTGTGAGCTATCTTTCCCAGCCTGTCTGTCCTCGTTTTAAAATATTTACCTTTATTATTTGTGTGTGTGTGTGTGTGTGTGTGTGTGTGTGTGTGTGTGTGTGTGTGTGTGTGTGTCTTCGTTTATATGGCATGTGTGTGCAGTGCCCACGGAGATCAGACGAGGGTGTTGGGTCCCTTGGAACTGGAGTTACAGGTAATGTGAGCCCCCATGTGGGTGCTGGGAATGGATCGTGGTTCTCCGGAAGAGTAGCAAATGTTCTTAACAGGTCCATTTCTCCAGTCCCAGCTTGTCTCTTTTTAAAAGTTAAAGTACTTTACTTTGTGAAATATCTTGTATTTGTTAAGGACGCCAGATATGTTTCACAAATAGTTTTCCATTTATTTGTAACTTTTTAAAAAATGTTAATTAAAAAAAGGGTAACAAGGTGATGACAGAAATAAGTTCTCTTTTGTGAACTAGCACTTAAATCAGATATTTGGAAACAATGTCCATTAGGCTCTAGATCTATTAATAACTCAATAATCATAGATAATGTGAAATAATATAGCAAATAGGTAAGCTTGAGCAAAACTTCCCAGAAAGAAGCTGTACCTTACATTAACCTTTGCAAGGCTGATTAACTAGAACTTAAGTGACTTGGAGAGTTTGGGATGTTGCAAGTCCAGAGCCAAATTATCTAGGCCATCTTTAGCCCTCTTAACAACCATTTATTACTCCCCTGTGTATCTGACCTAATAGCTCTGTGACCTTAGGTAAATCATTTGGAATGTATTAGTGTTCCATTGAAAAGTATTAACTGTTATCAGACATCATCTGAAGCCTATTGCTGAGATTTCTCCACTGGGCTATCACCTGATTCTGAGGTCTCCACCAATGTATTTAAAAAGTGTCTTGATGTTCACGACTTTCTTTGTTCTGTTACTATAAGAACTTCATGAAACTGCTTGCACGTTGGGACATCTAATTTGGGATGGCCTAAATCTGTGTTCCCTGGCCATGACTACTCATATTTGACTCCCAAATAAACTCTTGTCCCCTTTGTGTTTTTCTGTCAAAATAATACTACTTGGTGTTTGTTGTCTATTGTTGGATAACAGACCACTCTGAAGGCTTAGACATTACAGCAAATGTTGCTCACAAAAATTCCATGGCAAGGAATTCAACAATGTTTAGCAGAGATTGCCAGGCCTTGCCTTATGAGACGCTAGCTCTGGTGCTTGAGCCAGGGTTGGAAGTTCGAAGTGACTTTACTTATACTCCTGGACTTGATGCTTGCTACCTTCCTGCTTGTGCAACCTGCTGTTCCTCACTCAGGAATCTCACCACGTATTTAGTCTCATCCATCCTTTAGATGGTCAGCATGAGCGTTCTTCCACAGTAGCTGGCTTCCATAGAGTGAAAGAGAAAGAAAAACCTAGACTTGGAACCAGCATTATATCACCTCTGCTGAACTTTGTTGATGAGAGATAGATTCATGGGATGGGTACCAGATTCCTCCTCTGACTTGGAGCAGCAGCTTGAGCATAAGAGGAGTGTTTGCCAGTTATTTTTGCTTCAAACCTATTGCATAGTCTTATACTGAGAAGCTGTTGTTTAGGAATGGAAACAGCTGAAAAGCAAGGCTATGTTATCAGCTGTAAGGCTTTCAGTTGCTGTAATGGAACCTTACTAAGTGTCCTTATGTTAAGTCCTCTCTACGCTTGGCCTAGATAGCTATATGCATGAAGCCATTCCCCAGGGTTGATGGATTTAGTGTCTGACAATGTCGATAAGTCTTGAGATGTCTGCCTGTTTAAGGTCTGCCATCTATGGACTGGGTTGTTCTCTAGTCAGGTTTTCTTTTCTGATCCCCGAGTGGTGCTCACAGGTCCAGGTGACAGATGGTGTCTGAAGCAGGAAAAGGACACACTGCTTTCTTCTGTTTCAAGGCTAAGGGAACCCTCTCATCAGGCAGATTTTCTCCTTGTGTCTCATTAAATAAAATTGCTGTAATTGCTTATGCTTAGGCAATGGGTATAGGGAAGGCCTCTGTGATAGGTTTAAGGCAGTTAAGATTTATACCCCAGCACTGAGGAGGGAGCTGGCCTCTTCTGAAGATCACAGATCTTCTGGTAAGGGTCCGTGAAATTCGGATTATGTGTGAAAGGTACAGGCGTGGGATAAACAGATGGATGCTGTATGGGCAACAGTAACATTCATTTCAATGGGCATCAGATTCCTGAGTATATAAGATGAAACACTAAGAAAAAGGTCAGGCTTAGATCATTCCTTACAAGATGGTACCCAGTCCATCTGTTTCTTGCCTTCTATGTTGTAGGCTCCTCTGCCATGCCTTCCCCACCATGATGGATTGAACTCTTTGAAACCTGCTATATTTCTGAGGAGATTCCTGATTCGAATTATAGAATGTACTGGAAAACCACAGAAGAGAGCAATGGTTAAAGTCGCCACTGAAATGGAAGTGATGTTGAAGTTGAAATCACTGGTGTGTCCTGCTGGAGTTCAGTGGAACAAGAGGGATACTCTTCATACTACTGACCAGGGACACTGTAGGCCCAGGACACAGAAGGTACCTGGAAAAGAGCAACACAAGCAAACTCTGACTCTTTCTCATGGAAATGTCTTCCTTGATTTTTTGACCATTCAACATCCCTTCCAAAGAAAAGTTTCAACTTTCTCTTTTCTACTTCTTTCCCCTTGTGTAGCTCTCAAGCATTGTTTGTGAGGTATTATATTCAACTGGAATGAACATCATGTAATAAGAGAAAAAAGGTAATGGGTCACATATCTTAAAAATACACAACAATTATTTAGTTGCAAAAGATATAGACTAGTTATTCAGAACCAATATCTAGATTTGGGGTATCAGCTAATTGACACATGAAGCCTTTTTCAAAAATTCCCCTTTGTATCAACCTCATTTAGTGTTTACTGTTCTCAATTATGCTAGTGCCTTCAAAGGTCCTTCCCCACATCTTCCATACACAGGGACTCCGTCAATATGAAATCTTTATCTCATAAACTAGTGAGCACAGGGTGGGGAATAAAATACAGTTCTTTTGGTTTTCAGTATCAGTTACTCTTGTGTCATTGTGACCAAAAACGCACGTAGAGACAGGTTAAAGGGGGGCTGGTTTGGGCTCATAGCTGTGATGGCCTTCCGTCTGCTGTAGTGGGAAAGGCGTGGTGGGGTGGCTTCGTCTGTGGTAGTGGTGAGAGCAAGGCAGCGGCAGCTGTTGACATTACTGTGGGTCAGGAAGCATGGGCCAGTGCATCATGTGGGGGAGAGAGGGAGAGAGGGAGAGAGGGAGAGAGGGAGAGAGGGAGAGAGGGAGAGAGGGAAAGGGAGAGGGAGAGGGAGAGAGAGAGAGAGAGAACGAACCAGCCAGGAAGAACCTGTTATTTCCACTGAGTAAAGAATTCAGCTTTGGGAAAAATGGCAGCTTGGTTGGCGACTTGATGGTGGCAGAGACATTGTGTGTGTGGTTTTACATTTCAGTGAGAAATTAAACCCCGTGACCACTCAAAAGCAGCCAGATCTTCTTTCCTTAAGTTTGGAACGTCTGTATTTATTGTCTCATTGATTGTTGTTGAGTTTCATAGGTTGCTTTAACATCTGCTGTCAAAGTCCCCTTGGAAAGGGAGGATGATAGTAGCATGACACTGAATTTTAGCTTCCTGTGTCCTCCCCCATGACTGAACACGGGAATATTTTCAACTTTCTCATGGCTTTTTTAAAAAGCCAAATGTACCATTGTAAAATAATTTGTTTCTCTGGTGTCACTGGATACTGATAGTATTTGACTGCTGTTTGAACTAAGTTGAAAATAACAGGTGTCATTGACTTCTTAGGTCAAAGCAGGAACTATAACTCATCAGTTTGGTTTGATTTTTAGTAATGAATTAAAGAACATGAGTTTTTATCGTTGATAGAAGAATGCAATTTAACCTAGTACTTTAAAAGAGATATTAAAACACTGTTCTTGTTTTTTTTTAATATTGAATCAGTGTCTTGCTGTGTCTCCAGATGCCTTACCACTCATGATATAGTCCAAGCTGGCCTTAAACTTTCTCATGGAAAATTGAACCCATTGGCCAAAGAAAGGCGACCAGATTCCGTTTCCTTCGGGCCTTAGCTGGAAGCACAGTCTTCTTGGCACCTTCTCACTATCTTTGATTCGGGTGCACAGGTTGGCTTTGAGGGAGACCTGGAACTTCTGGTCATCTCCTCTCTGCCTTCTGAGCACTGGGGTGACATGTGTGCCTGGCCACGCTGTTCATGTGGTGCTGGTGGCCGAACCCATGGCTTTGTGCGTGCACTCTGCCAACTGAGTGCAGCTTTGCCCGGAGGCTTTAAGTGGCATTTTATACAGTGCTTATTACCTCTTCAGAAGCCAAAACGACCACATCTTCGCTCATTCTAAATGTGCTGCACATTTAAAGTCTTTTGAAGAGGAGTGTACTGATGTATTGGATCCCTTTAAGGCTGTGGTTTCACTGCGAAGGATGATTTTTGGAAATGATGGAAGCATGGGGATCTAAATACCTACTTATTTTACTGTTGGCCCGATGCAGTTCTGTCTCTTCTTCCCTGAACCGAGCACTTGAACACAATACGTTTTCAACATCTACCTGCCCAAGCTCTGGCATTTTCCCCTGGTGACAGCCATTTGAGGTTCCAAGGCACTATTTTTCTCCACCATGTCCTCTACCCTCTTGCCTCCGGCTAGCTTATCTGTATAGCCTTTTATCTAGGCTTCTGCCAAGCGTGGCTTCAGAATTCTTATCTCTCCCCATTCCTTCTCTGAAGGAATAACTTTGGTCTTTTACTGATAAATAAATCTCAAATTCATATTTTATCTCTGACTTGTCTACCATGCTACAAATGTTTTTGACCCGTTAAATATTTTGTGTGTATCAGTGTGTGTGTGTGTGTGTGTGTGTGTGTGTGTGTGTGTGTGTGTATGTGTGTGTGTGTGTGCCAGGAGAGGGTGCTGAATCCCTTGGAGCTGGAGTTACAGGTGTTTGTGAGCAATATGGGTGCAGGGACCTGAACTTGGGTCCTTAGGACAGAGTAGCAAGTGCCCTTAACTGCTGGCTTTCTCTCCAGTCTTCCAATTAAAAAAATGTTTTTATTAGCATATATTAATCATATATAATAATGGGATTCATTATGACATTTTCATAGTAGGTGTAAACTGTTGAGATCACATTTGCCGCCTTCTCCACCTCTCTGCCAACACTTGACTTACATTTGTTTCCCCAGGATCTTCTAAAGCACTTAGAAGAAAGTACTTAGAAACTATTTATGACTTTTAAAAAGCTTTCCTCAAAGGCAAACCTAAATTAAAGGGCGACCTGTGGTTCAGTTAATCCACCCCCCTGGCATTCACATGTCTCTGCAGAGTCCTGCAGGACAGTCTAATAGTGAGAAGGAAACTGCCTTTAGGGACGCTTTGGGGGGAAGTATGTTCATGAGGTCGCTCTGAGCTCTTGTGACTTCGACAGCTCTGTCTAAGGCCCGACACTTGCAGGAACCCTGCTTTAGACACACGCAGCTGTAAAACAAAGTTGGTTTCTTTTCTCAGGAAAAGAAACTCAGGGAGCCGTGTGAACCTGTGCAATCATTGCTCTTTTGTTCTGGGTCTCCTAGTTTTGGCTTCTGCTGTGCTGGCTGCGGCAGTTTTTAGCGATTATCCTTCAGGGATCATTTTTATTACCAGTTCAGTTCCATTCTTTGGTAAATTTCCTTTGTTCAATTTATTTGTGCACCAAGTCCATATCTTCCGCCCCATCCTTACATTTACCAAATCTCTAGAGCACACAGAGTACAGAAAGCTCGGCCGAGCAGTTCATCCCTCAATGACTTAGCTGTGTACTAGATGGGGAGTGATGCTAAGTGACTGTGCGTCTGTGGCTGGGTCACTATAGGGCACTGGCTGGGCCTGTGGACAGGGATATTTCACCAAGGCTTCAGGTTTCGTGTGAAATACCAAACCCAAACCTGGCTTATACTCTATTTATTGCCTGACACATTTCTAAACTTAGGGATCACTACTTTATAATCTCAAATAAGTATCAATAAACTTTCATCAATTTAGTAACAGAATCGATATGTGATATATTGTTTTCTGTTGATAATAGCCTTGAAGAAAGAAAAAAGAAAAATGCTAATTTTCTGCATGCAACTGCAGCCATTAACATAAATACTACTAACCACACTGCAATTCAACAAGTAATGAACGTCTTTGGTCCGTTAATTTATTCATTCCTTGCTTATTTCACTCTACCCATTTCTTTGCCTTTACTCTGGAGACTGTCTCTAAACCCAGATTTTATTTATTTATTTATTTTTAATGTATGTGTCTCCGTGTATATGCGCCATGTGTTCAGGAAACCCTTGAAGGCCAAGAGAGGCATCAGGTCCCCTGGAGCTGGAGTTACAGGTGGTTGAGAGTTGCCTGGTGTGGGCTCTGGGCACTGAACAAATGTCCTCTGGAATAGCAGTAAGTGTTCCGCACACTGAGCTGTCCCTCCAGCCCCAAGACGGTCTTTAATAACCTCCTTGCTCTTTCTTACTGAAGACAAGACTAAGCTGACAAGCCCTCAGTTTATTTTTGTGTTTTAAATAGTAATTGGTCATTCCGTTTCCTGGGAAACTGCACAGGAAAGTAAGCACTCAAAGGAAAATGGTTTGAAAAGCATGCCAGGAACTCTTGGAGGTTTAGTTCAAGGGTGCTGTTACCTAATGGTTTGTAGGTAAGCATGTCAGCCTGGCAGAATAAAACAAATTAGGGAGGTATACATATTAGTACATTTTGCTACTGACCGAATCAAATCCAACCAAATAGACAACTAATTGTATGTCTGTTTTAAAATCTAGTTACCTAAAATTACAGTTTCATTATTCTGAGAAAAGATTACATGTCAGTAACATAGGTGTGATGCATGGTGTGAGGATATTGTCAGTCTGAATAGAAGGGCCCTTCCCAGGGATAAATTCTTTGGCAAAAACGGAGGATTTACATGTCCACAGGATCAGTAAGTTAACCAACTTAAAATCTCCACTAGTTTTTGTAGCTGTATGATTTCATTACAATCAGTAGTTATCTGTGTTAGAAGGTAAAGGGTTAGCCTTGAAAACGGTACAGATATACCAAATGTTAATCATGTGTATTGGCTTGAAAGTTCATTAAGTATGCAGATAATGAGGTTCCAGGTTCCTTGAACTTTCTCCTTCCCTCCCTCCCTCCCTTCGTCCCTCCTTCCTTTCTTTCTTCCCTGAGGTCTTCTTTCCTCTCTTAGCAAAGAGGCGATAATTAGTAACAGCGGATCCAGTTGTCTATTGGTTGAACCCACTCCACGATCCCCGCTGCTTTGAAAACAGTCAGCGGGAGCCAGAAGCTCTTTGTTTACCGTACTTTTCAGAGGAGGGAGTTAATGGGGCGGCTCTGAAAACCGAGAAGGTGGTGCACAGCAATCTGGTGACATTTCGCTGGAGCATGCTGCCACCTCCTGGCCACACAAGGCAGGGCCTCTTCATAAGATGGCAGGTAGAGCCTACAGTGTATGTAGTGTCTCATTTCTACGACATAACATCTTTTGGACACAGAAATTTAGATTTCTTTTGTGTGTGTCAGATGTCATACAATATTCAAATTAAAAGGGAAAAAAGCATATCGCAATCGAAGGCACCAACACATCTGCAATAATTTCTATACCTTGAATACAGAGATGATGGAAAAAGTTGACTTTTAAAAACAAAACTAGCCTTGGAGAGCTTCACTGTGGTGTTACAGTGACACTCTTCTTAAAAATTTTATTGAAAATAAAGCCAGGCGGTGGTGGCGCATGCCTTTAATCTCAGCACTCTGGAGGCAGAGCCAGGAGGATCTCTGTGAGTTTGAGGCCAGCCTGGTCTACAGAGTAAGATCCAGGACAGGCACCAAAACTACACAGGAAAGCCCTGTCTTGAAACTCCCCCCCCCAAAAAATCTTGAAAATAGATCCCCCCCCACCACACCAATATATATTCTAACTACGGTTTTCTCTCCCCTTCCCCATTTCTGTCTCTTGTTGGAAAACAAACAGCTGGGGCCCTGGAAAATGGCTCAGTGGTTAAGAGCATTGGTAAGAGCACTGGCTGCTCTTCGAGAGGACCCAGGTTCAATTCCCAGCACCCCCACATGGCAGTTCACACCTGTTCCAACACCCTCACACACACATACGTGTAGGCAAAACACTAATGCACATATAAATAAACAAATAGATGGGTAAATAAATAAAAAACCAAACAGCTACCCAAGGGAAAATAATAAAAGGAAATAAAATAAGATAAAACAAAACAAACCAATCAGAATAGTACCAAACAAACAGAAGGAAGGGGCCGAAGGAAAAGCAGAAGGAACCCATGGTGATGCAGACACACACGTTTGCACCCACAGGAACTCCATTAAACACAAAACCAGAAGCCACAATATATATGCTAAGGACTACCGGGATGCCCTTCCCATTCAGTTTTTCTCTTTAGCTTCGTAAACTGACCATTTTTTTCTTTCTCTGAGACAGGGTTTCTCTGGGTAGCCCTGACTCCTGGAACTCAATATATAGATCAGGCTGGCCTCAAATTCACAGAGATCCTCCTGCTTCTGCCTCCTGAGTGCTGGGATTAACGGCATGCACCACCAGGCCCAGTTTATAAACTGGCGTTTACTTGACAGAATATACCAAAACAAAATAAATTCAGGCTAAATGAAGCTGTTGGATATCTAAAGAGTCACTGATACATAAAATATGTGCTGTAACTTTTAATTTTTTTGGTACTTTATTAAGCTAAAAAAATTTACTAAGCACCAATTGTTGGTTAAGCAGCAGCACTCGTGGCTGGTGGCGGCCATGCTGACAGAGGAGAGTGCTGGTTGGCGGGAGAATCACGAGCCATGGTTACCTTTCTAGAGCTTTATTGGGAGGGAGAGAGAGGGAGAGAGGGACTGCACAGAGTGGGGGGAAGGAGAGAGTGTGGAAAGAGGAGAGGGCACAGAGGGCACGCCCGCTTTTTAGGCTGGAACGCCCTCGCAGGCTAGTGACGTAATTAAGGACATAATCCTTACACCAGTGAGCCAGACATACTACACAGTTCTGTGACATCAGAGTAAATAAAAGACACAGAGCTTTGTCCAGAAAGCCATTAGCAGGTGAGACAGAGGCGGCAACAGAATTCTAACAACCAGGAGAAGATGCAGTATATAGAGAGCACTGGGGGGCATGCGTGAGACACTCGCAACCTGAGATGGGATTATGGAGAATGAAACAGACTGGCCTCTAGCAGACAGAGACTTAAATTTATATATTCTACATATCCGTTATAAAGTTTCCCTCCTTCATCTCTTGAGGAAAAAAATCCTCAAATTTAAAGCTATGTGTGGCCTCTCCCCACATTTCCAATGTTTCAATGTCGGTAGTTTACTATGGAAGCTTAGACAGACGTCAGGAGGTCAGGAGTGGCTCTGAAAACCTCCCTGAAATCAACATTCAGCAAGCATCCTAGCAATGATCACTTTTGATTTTCATAACGGCTCATTATAATCACCCCATTCCTAATCTTATAATTTAGGTTAATGTTCTGTAAAAATAATTGCCTCCTTAAATTGATTTTCATTTCCGTGGGCCTATCAAGTTTGGAGAATATAATTCCCTTCTGCCCTTAAAATACTTAATCTAAAATGAGAGCCCAAGTTTGCAGCCTGTAAAGAATAAATAAATAAAGGAATGAGCAAATGGGCGAGCACAGCACTCAGACAGTACATGTAGGCGCAAGCTGTTGGGATATTTGTCCCGCTGCAGCAGCCGGCAGACCCTG